AAAAATGTGTTCAACTTTTTGTTTTAAATGTTCAATTTTCATTTTTAGAAGACATTTTATTGTTAATTAAATCTTTTATTTCATTTAATTATTTAAATGATTTATTTTTTCCAAATTGAGCTTCCAAGGAGGTGTCTAGACACTGCATGCGCTCGCTGGGGTGTACGTACACCTTGTGCACAGTCATTTCAGAAAGTTTCTGGGCTCGAAAATGGAAATTGAAGCATCAAAATAAATCTAGTTGAATATATAAATATAATTAAATGTATTTATTTCCAAAAAGATCACAAATAATGGTAAAAGCTGCGCCATTTGTCAACCAAAAGCATTCTTCTGTGCGCTTCAGTTAGATCTGCAAACTCAGAGGCCCCCATGCAGGGGTAAAATGATGAAAATTGGTTTATTTGGTTTTCTTTTGGATTTAACTCTGAACAAAAAAGGTATTTGTTTGTTTTGGTTTTCCTTTTTTTCGAAAAGGCCTTTCGAACAAACCAAAAAGACCCCAGACACCCCTCCGGCCTCTTGAGGTGTACGTACACCTCAGCTGCACAGGCATTTGAGGTGTCTGTTGAGTTCCAGAGCTCAACAGACACCTCAAATGCCTCGTACTTCAGGTGTATAGGCACCTCAGGCGTATAGTCAGCTCAGGTGTAGAGACACCTCAAGTGTATAGACATATCAGCTATATAAACCTCAGGTGTATAGGCAGCTCAGGTGTACAGGCACCTGAGGTGTATAGGCAGCTCAGGTGTATAGGCAGCTCAGGTGTATAGAGAGCTGAGATGTCTGTACACCGCAAAGCCCCTGAAGCGTGTGGGGCTCATTACTGTTCATTTGCTGCTTTCCTTTTTGTCAGTATCCCCCAAGTTTGAAGATGCAGCCTACACCAGAAGTAGCTACTGCTGCTGCTGCTGCTGCTGCTGCTGCTGCTGCTGCAGCCTCTGCAATTCCCTCTCCGCCTGTTGCCACTTCTGTTCGCTCAACCCCTTCGCACGTTCATCCGCCCATCCCGCTGTTGTTGCTGCAGCAGCTGCTACTGCTGCTGCTCTGCAGCTGCTGCCGCTGCTGCTGCTGCTGCTGCTGCTGCTGCTGCTGCAGCTCAGCCCATCCTGGTCTGCCCAAGGGTCCAGGGAGTAGCAAAGAGCATTGCCTCTCTGACGAATTTTAATTTTCGGATTTCTTTTAAAATTTTTTCACTAACTTCGCTGTCAGTTTGAAATATGCAAAGACCCAGCACTTCAGAGGGGCCCCCGGGGGCCCCCTGGGGGCCCCCCCCAGAGGGGCCCCTGCCTGCTGCAGCAGCGTGGGGGCCCCCCTGGCTTGGGGGTCCCTGCGTGGAGCCGTTAGTTCCCTTTTCGCTGTGTCCAGAGCCCTGCTGCTGCTGCTGCTGCTGCTGCTGCTGCTGCTGCTGCTTATGCATGAGGCGGCGGCCCAAGTGGCAGTTAGCAATGTTGATATTTGCTGCTGCTAAAAAGGACAGCACTGTAGACAGCACTCCTGGCTGGTCCCTGAGAAGACAGCAGCAGCAGCAGCAGCAGCAGCAGCAGCAGCAGCAGGAAGGAGAATAATGAAATAGCAGCTACAGCCGCTAGAAGGTGCACTAGGGCGGCGCAGCAAAGAGGGATTTTAATGTCATTTTAATTTATTATTTTAAAAATTAATAGTTCAATTTATAATTACAAACAAAAAACAAATTAAAACCATTTATCAAAGAAACGGCTTTTTTGTGCTGCTGTGGGGCCGTGCAAAGCCCAGAAAAGAGCTGCTGCAGCGCAGCAGCAGCAGCAGCAGCAGCAGCAGCAGCAAAAGAGGCTTGAAGCAAAGCAAGGAAAATTAAATAAAAATCAAAAAACTTGAACACAATAAATAATTTTAAGTGTTTAATTGAGAAATTAATTTATCAGTTCGGTGAAAAGTCTGGAGTTTTTATTAAATTAAATGAATTAAATTTATTTTTATCTTTTTAAAATTAAAAATATAATTAAAGGCCAAAGCTGCTGCAGCAAAGAGATGCTTAACAAACTGCCTCCTTTTGGCTCCTCTTCCCAAACTGCTGCTGCTGCTGCTGCTGCTGCTGCTGCTGCTGCTGCTGCTGCTGCTTACACATGCAGAGTGTAGAAGAGGTAAATGGGTTTTTGCTGGTTTTCTTCGTCGAGCGTCTCGGCGCGTTCTCTCTCTTGCCCCCCAGCCCCTGCTGCTGCTGCTGCTGCTGCTGCTGCTGCTGCAGGCCTTATTTTGGGGAGACAAAAAGAAATTGGCATTTCTTTGAAAGTACTCAAAATGAAAGATCCTTCATTTGTCGAGCAGCCCCCCAAGCATGCAGATTCGCTGCTGGAGTGTACAGACACCTCCAGATACAAGGGGCCGCGGCCGTTGTAGGCTGCAGCAAAAAGAATAAATAATAAATAATAAATAATAAATAAATAAATAAATAAATAAATAGAAAATAAATAAATAAATAAATAATAAATGGTACTGGGTAAGTAGTTGTTGGGGAAAAGACGGAGGAGGCGAGTAAGGGAGACATGGAGGAAGCAGAAGAACGAGCAGCAGCAGCAGCAGCAGCAGCAGCAGCAACAGCAGCATCAGCTGAGAAAGCAGGAGCAGCAACGGCAAGAGCAGCGGCAGAAGCAGCACAACAGCAACGACCGCAGCAGCAATAACACCAGCAAAAGCAACAGCGAACGCGGCCAAAGCAGCAACACCAGCAACAGCAGCAGCAGCAGCAGCAGATGTAGCAGTAGCAGCAGCAGCAGCAGCAGCAGCAGGAATGACCTCTTTCAACAGCAAGTTCGATTTTGTGTTCTGCTGCCAGCTGCCGAACATTTACGAAGTTCACCCGGTGGTCGCAGCGGGTGGCCAAAACTCCCTAAATAAAAATATAGTAAATAAATAAATAAATAAATAAATAAATAAATAAATAAATAAATAAATAAATAAATAAATGAATAAATAAATGAATAAATAAATGAATAAATAAATGAATAAATAAATGAATAAATAAATGAATAAATAAATGAATAAATAAATGAATAAATAAATGAATAAATAAATGAATAAATAAATGAATAAATAAATGAATAAATAAATAAATGAATAAATTAAAAAAATTAATACATAAATAAATAAATAAATAAATAAAATGAATAAATGGATTAATAAATGAATAAATAAATAAATGAATAAATAAATGAATAAATAAATGAACAAATAAATGAATAAACAAATGAATAAATAAATGAATAAATAAATAAATGAATAAAAAAAAATTAATACATAAATAAATAAATAAATAAATAAAATGAATAAATGAATTGATAAATGAATAAACTAAACAAATAAACCAATGAATAAATTCATAAATAAATAAATAAATAAACAACTTATTATTTATTTATTATTTGTCCATTTATTTGTTTATTTATTTCGTCGATGAAATGGGCGGAGAGACGAAGCAGGTGCAGCAGCTGTGAGCCACATAACTTCCAGGGTTTAGGGTTTAGGGTTTAGGGTTCAGGGTTTAAGGTTTAGAGTTTAGGGTTTAGGGTTTAGGGTTTAGCCGCCTGCTACTTAGTGCTGCAGCGTGTGACCGCCTGGGAGTCCCCACAGGCGTAGCCGCAGGGCTTAGGCTTCACCCTTCAGCATTTAGGGTTCAGGGTTTAGGGTTTAGGGTTTAGGGTTTAGGGTTTAGGGTTTAGGGTTTACCTGGGCCACTGCCAGCAGCAGCACATCAAGTTGTTCATTTTCCAAATCTCCCGAAACCTTCAGCCGCAAACTGTCCATGGGGTGTAACAACAGCTGGCTCGCCAGGCGCCCTGGGGCAAACCGAAAACCCTCAGGGTTTAGGGTTTAGGGTTTAGAGTTTAGGGTTTAGGGTTTAGGGTTTAGGGTTTAGGGTTTAGGGTTTGGGGTTTAGGGTTTGGGGTTTGAGGCTTAGGTTTTAGCGGTTGCGGGTTACCAGGGCCTACAAGTGAAAGCGTAAAGGCTGCGCAGTAGGGGGCTCGATTTAGGGTTTAGGGTTTAGGGTTTAGGGTTTAGGGTCTAGGGTTTAGGGTTTAGGAGCAACAATTGTTCACGGGCTGCAGTGTACATACACCTCACCGAGCATTTCTGCATGCTGAATATATTTGGTGACTTTCGAGATATCACTAATGCGGATGCTCTGCAGCAGCAAACAGACGCAAGACAACTTGCTGCTGCTGCTGCTGCTGCTGCTGCTGCTGCTACTGCTGTTGCTGCTGCTACTGCTGTTGCTGCTGCTGCTGTTAGTGCTGCTGTTCCTGCTTTTGCTGCTATTGTTGCCATTGCTACTGCTGCTTCCCCTGGTGCTTCGTTGCTTCTTCTCCATCTGCTGCTGCTGCTGTTGCTGGTGCTGCTGGTGCTGCTGCTGCTGCTGCTGCTGCTGCTTACTGGGAGGTTTACTGCAGCAGTTGGGAGTTGCCCTTTGAGTATTTCTTTGATTTGCATCGCCACATCTACAGAGACATTAACTTGGGCCTCTTGTGTGCTGGCGCCTGCAAACAGCGAGAAACCCTAAACTAGGGTTTAGGGTTTAGGGTTTAGGGTTTAGGGGGGTCAAAAGACTCAAAAAGAGCGCAAAAAAGCCGGAAATGGAGAATTAAAAAGGGGAAAAAGGTTAAAAGAAACAAAAAGAAAAGAAAAGAAGAAAAAGAAACAAAGAAACAAACCAATGTGGGGCGTGAGAATGAGATTGGCTCCTTTTCTCTTAGCAGCAAGAAGAGAACAGTTTGCTGCTAAAGCTGCTTCCACTTCAAACACGTCCAGTGCTGCTCCCCCCAAACGCCCCGCAGCAACTGCTGCTGCCACCGCCTCCTCGTCCACTACGCCCCCTGCAGCAGCAGCAGCA